AAATTATATTTAATTAAGTAGAACGTGTCGTCTATATTTATTTAAAGTTGCGAATTTTGATGTGACGTCACGTTTCTCAACCCCCCCCCCCCTCGTCACACATCGTCACAAATGTCTGACCCCCCCGAGGTGCGTGACGTCATTTATGGACGGCCCCTAATTACGATTTTGCCTTGCGTTTAATCGGGACATTATACGGTTCATTATACAGTATTCATATCGCCATGATTCACAGCGATAAGCCGAACGTGACCCGGTTAATAGTCGTGAAGCGAATCAATCACTGTCAAGCTAATGTCGAATGCAGCTTACCGGTTCAAAATCCGTGCCTCGTGGGGGGTTCGGAGGGTCCAATTTCTGATCACCATTGCCTGATCTTAAATAATTATAATAATAAATAATCATTCTCATAAATAATTCTAATAAATTATTATCATTACATACCTATTCTTGGTTCTTTCGGTAAAGTCACGTAGAAGGGAAATAATAAAATAATACGTGACTTTACCGAAAGAACCAAGAATATGAATCCCTGCAGTCACGAAAGCTTTAAATCGAAACGTTACATACCTGTTAACCCATACGGTCTAAACCCGTATTCTTGTACAGGGAAATTTAGTTTTCAGGTCCATACGGCGCACAGCCGTTTCAATACGGGCAAAACAATATTTTGCTGTCTATTTGTTTGTGTTTCTCCCTTGTGATGGGAATTTGTTGGATGAACATTGTGATTGATAAGTGCCCGGAGTGACCAACAAGGTCTTAATTGGCCTGTGATAAGGTAGGCACTGATCAGGGGTTGACAGGTATGTTGTACACATTGCAGTGTGTGGAGAAATCATGCTCTCAGTCAGCAAAGAGCCGAGCTGAGTCTCAAGACTCCCTTTGGCAGGATGATCCTGCATTTGGGGATGTTTGGCCACCTCCTCTGGTGAATAACGCTTAAAGGTCCGCACGGACGATGTTGCCGAACCCGCCATCTCCTGTCCACAGTGTGACACCCGTCCACGGGTGATCTACCAACCCTTGCCTCTAGAGCATTGGGGCGAAGGCGTTTTGCCACCACGAAGTCGATATACGAGCTGTGGTGGGTTAGTGATAAGAGCTGTGTTGTGGGTTTGTATTTGGCTACGTTGTCAGTTGCGGCTTATCAGTAATGGTGTCATGGGTAAGTATTAAACTGTCAGGAGTCGTGGTGTTGTGAGTGAGTACAGTTGATGTAATAAGTAGTGATGCTGTTGGGTTCGTATCAGGCTGGTCGTGTGATCAGTAGTGGTGTGGGTAGGGATGTTTGTGGTAACAGAACAGGCGTCCTCACGGGACCGCCAGGGCACGAGAGACAGAGGAGCGTTTGACTCTCAAGTCGAACGCCAATCGCCAATTATCCGTGTATGTAATATGTAAGGTTTTTAAGAGAAGTTTTGAAATACATTTTTCGCCCGGGCAACGCCGGGTACTTCCCGCTAGTATGTTATAAAGGGGCCCTAAAAGAAAGAAAAAAAAACACGTAAATATTAAAACACATAAATGTTTAACTTGCACAGTAAAGTAATTGCTTTTTGTCATTTGCTGTACAGCCAGATAATACGACAAATCGCTACCCTTAACACCCAGTCGCTCATAAAAGTTGAAGGCAGTATAGTACTATAGTAATAGAGCAAGTGCAGAATCACTGAACCGGAATTGAGAGCTTGAAAGCATTTAGCGCGGGGCCCTTGAAAGTGCGGGGCCCGTAGCATGTGTAGCTACTTTTGCTACAAGGATAATCTGGCACTGCCCTCACTGTGTCGTGCACAACAATAAAGTCGTTGAGATCGACCAAACACGCCAGCACTAAACCTTAGCTGCTCTTGCCGTCAGTGGGTGATGCAATGGGGAGTCTCGGAATATCCGTGCCCTTCCTAATGAACAACAATGCCACCCCAACGCCACATTCAGAGGTAACTCATCAGTGGGGTAGCTGGAGGCGTTTAAGTCCAAATTAAAGAGGTCATCACATCTCGCCATCGCTACCTCTCTTCTGCCAGATCCTGCCAGCAGTTGCAGAGTCCACATCTTATCTCCAAGGTGTGCACTTACACTTCATCCCAGCTCGGTAGTTTTACAACAAGGGTGTGGATTTGCGTGCCACCCCCTCCCATTCACTTATTAACCCCTTTTACTGCGTCTTAGAATCAATATTGATCTTGTCGTTGGATATCAACATCGAATAGATGATTATATACGTATTTAATCAACTGTAAACTTTTGAACATTTCTTTTAAAATTGAAACCTGGGTCACGAAGCAATATATTACGTGGTAAAGAGCAACTCAGCATTATGTATGCCTGTACCTCCGATTTTTACGGTTGGCTACGTACGGTGCGTAAGAAGTTCGACTTACATACTGTAAATTTTGATTTAAAGCTTTCGTGACTGCAGGGATTCATATTCTTGTTTCTTTCGGTAAAGTCACGTAGAAGGGAAACAATAAAATAAAAAAAATAAATAAAGAACCAAGAATTACATACTGTACTTACAGCAATTTGTCAATCAACTGCAGGATGAGGACGTCCCTACGCCATATAGGTAATGGAGCTTAATGTTGGACAAAACATCACCACGCTTGTCAACGCAGGTTGGTGAAGGCGAGGAGCACAGATGTGTGAAGCAGAGCCAAACAGTACAAATCATGGGTTTAGCTGCTGCACTACACTTTGCTGTCCACCACGCAGCCATGGGGTTCTGTTTTTTTTTACCAACATCTGTCGGAACCGAAAAATGAGAACCCCATCTGACCCCTGCCTGTTATCGTACTTCACGCGGTATTAACTTCACTGATTGAATCGTCTTGTCTGGGACATACTCCTTTGGCGCCTCTGAGTCAAATGATTGTTTATAAGTCGTTAAACTGTAGTCACAATGGATTTTTCGAATTTTCATTTTTTTCTCCCACATCGTGGTTTGAGATAAATGTGGTTTTTTTTTTGGTCTGTGCAGTAATAGCGCCACTTTAAGACTCCCACTTGGGGTCTCACAATACTATCGGCTTTATCTCGGACACTCCGTGCCACTGATCTAGATTTTGTGCAGCGTGGCGAGTGAGGACAGGCAGCGACGAGCAGTGGGCCGCCACTGGGCTGGGCAACCAGAAACGCCTTCCCACATACGGCCAAATCATCGTGAATTTGCCCAAACTTACTTGGAAGCTTAGCTTGGGAATACCAGGTGTTGTAGGCTTGGGCTGCAAGTAGGCAGTACATCAATGGATTATTGAATATGTATGGACCTTCGAGTGTTACCACCTCGTGTGCATGGTTGGTTTTCTCTGGGTCTTCATTTTTACTACCACATAATTCCAAAGACTCATGATTGGAATTGGCCAATCATTCCAAAGCAGGACAATTAATCGAGGCCTTTTCATAAGCTCATATGTCCATCGAAATCCTCTGTGTAATGATGTATGTATGAAAATTTTCTGCAAATATTATTGCTAGGCTAATGTAAAAGGTAGAACAAGATGGAATAAATGAGGCAATATACAGAAACAAATGAGATAAACTAGAACCGATCCCTGGTCAGAATCGTGGAATTTCATCCAATCGCGGTGGAGGGCTTGAACCGATGTTTGTCTAGAAATCACAAACAGTGCCATCGTGTTTGACCCAGGGTCAGCCTTGTCAAAGAGATTTGGTGTTTCAATGGATTCTTACCTGGGAAAATAACGAAGATGAGGATGTATCATGCCCGGTGTGTGACCTGAAGCAGTCTGCAGTGGTGAAAAGATCACAAAGGTGCTTCACACAAGTGACCACTAGAGTGCAGCATCTGTTCGTCTACCCACGTAGGTCCAGCTCAGGCATTGTTGTAAGTTCGGTTTGACCTACCCAGGCGGTCGCTGTACACAACTACACATCACGGAAGCCCGATCTCCATGTTGATAATTTACCCTCCAATGATTTCTGCGTCTGCACCATGTTTTCAAACCAACGCAAATACGCAGGAATCAGATAATTTCTTCACTCTGGAGAGTCTTATGTGTTGCAACTATACAACGTGGACTTATTTATTGGGTAAGGATAAGGTCAACGTTTTTAATGTATGAATCACTTCAATGCAGAGCAGTGTCGCAGGAGTTAGAACCTCCAAATCGCTTTGACATTAACAACCCAAGCTAGATTACAGGTCACGGCTAACAGGGACGAGTGAAAGCGACCATCCCAAACTCGTGAAATACAATATGGTCAGTCGCCATTACTACAAGTTTTTCAATCCAATAGGATTGAAAATTGTCTATTACAAAAGTATTGTCTCATAACGCATTTCAACGTACAACAAGAGACATTCGAGGATTCAAAAAGGAAATGACTTCGGTCTTATGGGACGCAATTCGTAGCCATAATCATAGCAAGAGGTATTGTGGATGTTGTGTGCCGGGCGCAGAAATTTTCCGGACCACAAACTCGGGGCAGACCCGGATGAAATGAAGCCCTTGGATATGTGTTGACCCTTTAAATAATCTGGTAATCGTGGAAGAGTAGGCCAAAATACCCTCTTGGGGGGGGTCTCTAGGGCTCACTACAGTGGAGGCCCTTACACCAAGAGTCGCGTGAACACGATATTGCAGCGCTGCGCCTTAACCGTTTTAAAATAAAGTTTGAAAACGAAAGTCTGGTGCTGGCAACACGTGCTGCTTGCAAGCAATTTCCCGGGGCCATGCGTGCCGGCGTGCGGCATGTTCATCGTCGCTGGTGCTGCTTTTGCGATGTCGCCTCTGCCACGCACCACGGTCGTGTGGAGGCGGGGCCACCGAATTCCTTCGCAGCACATTTAGCCAATCGGAGCGAAGCGCTCGGAGGCGCCCGCCAATAGCAGGCGGATGTTCGCCGCCAGTTGATCAATGGGAGCGCGCGTTACGTGCGCGCCTTGCGGGGGTGGGGGGGAGGAATGAAGCGAAGGGGCGGGGCCACAGGGCCGTGTTCCCAGAGCGGGGGCCTCTCCCCCCCCACCCCGCGGCCGCTTCCTCCAGTAGCCAGCCACAGTGTCCAGCCACAGTGTCCAACCACAGTGTCCGGGCTCTAGTAGACAATCCCAGTGTCCAGCTGTAGTGTCCAGCCACAGTGTCCATCCACAGTGTCCGGGCTCTAGTAGACAATCCACAGTGTCCGGCTGTAGTGTCCATCCACGGTGTCCAGCCACAGTGTCCGGGCTCTAGTAGACAATCCCAGTGTCCAGCTGTAGTGTCCATCCACAGTGTCCATCCACAGTGTCCGGGCTCTAGTAGACAATCCCAGTGTCCAGCTGTAGTGTCCATCCACGGTGTCCAGCCACAGTGTCCATCCACAGTGTCCGGGCTCTAGTAGACAATCCACAGTGTCCAGCTGTAGTGTCCATCCACAGTGTCCATCCACAGTGTCCGGGCTCTAGTAGACAATCCACAGTGTCCAGCTGTAGTGTCCATCCACGGTGTCCATCCACAGTGTCCGGGCTCTAGTAGACAATCCCAGTGTCCAGCTGTAGTGTCCATCCACAGTGTCCAGCCACGGTCTCCAGACACAGTGTCCGGGCTCTAGTAGACAATCTACAGTGTCCGGCTGTAGTGTCCATCCACGGTGTCCAGCCACAGTGTCCGGGCTCTAGTAGACAATCCCAGTGTCCAGCTGTAGTGTCCATCCACGGTGTCCAGCCACAGTGTCCATCCACAGTGTCCGGGCTCTAGTAGACAATCCACAGTGTCCAGCTGTAGTGTCCATCCACGGTGTCCAGCCACAGTGTCCGGGCTCTAGTAGACAATCCCAGTGTCCAGCTGTAGTGTCCATCCACGGTGTCCAGCCACAGTGTCCAGACACAGTGTCCGCGCTCTAGTAGACAATCCCAGTGTCCAGCTGTAGTGTCCATCCACGGTGTCCAGCCACAGTGTCCGGGCTCTAGTAGACAATCCACAGTGTCCAGGCTCTAGTAGGCAATCCACAGTGTCCGGCTGTAGTGTCCACCCACAGTGTCCAGGCTCTAGTAGACAATCCACAATGTCCGGGCTCTCGTAGGCAACCCCAGTGTCAAAACCCCGCTCCTAGCTCCAGCCTCCAGTGTCAAGCCCCAGTGTCCAGCTCCTAGCCCTAGTTAGTGTCCAGCCTCCAGCTCCCTAGCGCTTTTCCAGCTCTGTATTAGAGTCTGTCGCTTACTCCGGTTCCATTCTCAAGGCTCCCAGCTCCCTCCAGCCCAGCTGTACCGCTCCCTCTAGCTCCAGTGTCCTCCCATCCTTGATCTGCAATCTACCCCCTTCCTCCAGATACAGGATCCCAATATCTCCATCCTATCCCATCTCACCCCCAGCCTTGCCCCCACCAGCCGGCTGGCTTCACTCCACTCCAGCCGCTCCTCTCAGGGTCCCGCCCCACCCGCTTGCCCCCCCCCCCACCACCACCGCTCCCTCCTCCCAAGGTCCCACTCCTATCCCCTGCTTCCTCCAGCCACTCGCTCTTGGTTCTCTTGGACATTCCCGCCTGTCCGACCATTCTCCAATCGGGCTCGTCCGCCCAGCGTCTCTCGTTGCACTGCCTCCCCTCCATTCAGCCCTCCTCACCCCCCAGACCCCTCCTTGCTCACGCCCGGGGTCCCCCCCAATCCTCCTCCTCCTGCTCCTCCACCCCAAGCGATCGCACCAGCCCAGCGCCACCAGCTCGGTCCTTCGCGTCTGCCGGGCGCCGTCATCACCACCACCACCAGCAGTAGCAGCAGCAGCAAGCAGCATCGTTGTCCCGCGAGAGGAATAGGAGGAGGAGGGTGGTGGTGGTGGGTGGGGGGGATGGCGGAGCCGCTGTGTCAGCTGCTCGGGGAGCGGCTGCTGCGGCCCGTGAGCGGCGAGGACGCCGGTGCGGCGGGAGCTCAGCCCGGGCCCGAGGCGGCCGGCGCCGCCGCCGTCGCCGCCGCCGCCGCGGCGGCGGCTGGAGCTGGCGACCTCCCCACGGCGTCCCTGGCCTGCGAGGGCCGCTCCACCGTGGGGCTGTTCTTCTCGGCGCAGTGGTGCCCGCCATGCCGCGCGTTCACGCCGCTGCTCGCAGACTTCTACCGCAAGCTGCGGGACCGCCTCGAGGTGGTGCTCGTTTCGTCCGACACGGACGCGCAGCAGTGGACGGAGCACAGGCAGCACATGCCCTGGCCAGCTCTGCCCTTCGACGACCGGCAGCGCAAGGTGAGTGGGGGAGAAGGGTGCGGGAACGGTGAGGTTGGGATGTTTTGTTGGTGAAAGGAAAGCGAGGTGAGGAAGGTGGTGAGGGAGCGGTGGCGGCGAGGCGGGGAAGGTGAGGAAGCAGCTGTTGGGGGATGGGGTGATGAAGGTGAGACCGAGGAAGGTGAGAGGGTGAGTAAGGAGAGGGGGGAATGTGAGAATGATAATAAATCAGATTAAAGGTGAGGTTAGCGGTGAGGAAATTGGGGGCGGGGAGAAATAAAATCGAGGGGTGAGATGAATGGATGGAGTAAGGTGAGGGAGGTTGGTGGGTCTCGGGGTTAGAATCCATACACCCACAGGGTTGCAATGGCAAACTGGCCAACAGTAGCATCTTCTGAGTAATTGACCCTTAATCAGGTAAGAAACTATTGAGGCTGCATTGGAGACATGTGGACAATTAGTATCAAGTAAAAAAAATATGCTTCAACGTTATCGAGGATTATATTGGGCATAGTCGAGCATACATTTGGTAGGTATGCTGGGTTGGCCTGGAGTTGATCATTTTTCAGGAGGGTTCCACATTGAAATGTTCGACCAATTACTTTTTAATGGGAGTTTTGTATGAGCTAGGAACCGGAGTACCTGGAGAAAAATCATAATTGAGAGGATAACACTCAACGCTCCTCACAGATGAGTTCTTTAATCCATTTGCTGTACTGCCATCTGGCCATCATGTAGTGCGTTGCGTTTGTAATTTTAATTTAAAAAGATGCAGATAATAAATCTGTGAGATGCCAAACACACTGACACACATTCTAATACAGTTCCCTCCTGCAAGTGTCTTGAGACCTTTAGGCTTTACTGGATAAACAATATAACGATTTCAACCATCATCAATATTACCAAGGTGAAATCCACCATTACCAACTTTATTAACTCTACTATCCATATTCTACTATCCATCACCAACGGCACCATGACTGTTATTTTTTTCATCACTCTTAGCTCTGGCACAAGCAAATCCACAATCACGTTACTGATGCCACCTTCATATATTCCACTCTGATCATATCATCTTTAATGGTACCATCAGCTCCACTGTCGATATACTATACCATCACTCATCCCACCCACACCTCCCCCATTGAACACTTCACCGTGAATAACTACACCATCTTTAGATCTACATCACTACCTTCACGTTCGCAATGCACCACCATCGCTACCTTAACCGTCACTCTTGCCAATTCTACCATCACCGCCACCATCACCTTCATCACTAGTATCAGCATTACAATCAACCTCACCACCAGAATCTCTAGCCTGTGCTTCCCTCTATGCCTCGCTTAGTCCGGTGATTGACGCCTGATGTCAGCCACAATCAATTATCTGCTCCCCAATTCATCCCTGATGGTTGTCAGTCAATCAATTCACGCTGTGAGATCCCCGGTTTGTTTCCACATGGAGCTCTATTGTGACAGGCGAGACTGCATCGTAGCTGCCTTATCGCCTCGTCTGCCATCCTTGTCATCCACACTCCGCATTGATTTGACCACCAAGGCTCTGCGTCTCCCGCCACATCCTGGCAGCTTCTTATCGCCCAGTCCCAGACTCATCTTAAGAGACAGACTCATCACAGAGCAAGTAACAGACAAAAATACCCATCACAGACCCATTGCAAGAGCTAGACCCACGCAGATACCCATCACACAGCCATCACAGACATATCACCCATGACAGACCAAATAGTGCACGCACTCATTATAAACACACAGGTCAACAATAGAGACATCATCCTACCATCAAATAGACAGACTCATTGCATTGGAGACCTACCACATAGACAAACCCATTACAGACCAAATCACAGCCTTATTATGTAGACATAAACTCATCCTGGGTTCATTACAGACACACACCGTTAAGAGACACATACCCCTTACAGATCTACCATAAAGACACAGGCCCATCACAATTACTCACATCCATCACAAACACACACCCGTCATAAGCCCATCATGTACAAATACCACACTTCCAAATCCACCACAGATTCCTCATAGTTGTGCACCCATCATCACCGTTCACCGGCTGATGGCATCGGCACAGTGTAGTGCGCCTTTTATCGCAATTATGTCCATCACTGCATCCTGTCCTATCGTTTCTCTGTAAATGTCACTTTAAAGTCCTTGCTTGGGCCTAACGGTCGCTCAGCCTGGAAAAATCAACTGTACAAATCTTCCTGTTTTTTTCAGCCACCGCACAGTAAAAAAATACATCTGCTTTCTACAAGTCACTTGCAGTGTTCTTGGCTGCCCACGCTCTCCCGTGGAAGGGCCATTACCTGAAACGTTCGCCTATTTTTTGCCTTTGTTAGAAGGCATTTGTTAGTGAAGAACACCTGGTGTTTGAGGGGCATATTTGGTCTGTACACCACTGCCTCCTCAGGTTATATTAGTAATACAAACATTTGTGTTTCGTGTCGAAGTGTTTCCTGCAAGCAGTAAATTAATTGCACCTACGCAAAGATTTACACTCGTAACAGGTACACCAAAGGCCCCGTGGAATGCACTTATTGCGCACTATGTCGCCTTTGCTGTGTTGCCTTGATCACAACCCATGTGCTGCTGCGTAATAATGACAGGTTATTCTCAGGCTTTATTGTTTGCTATGGGTCGGGTTTATCGCTTTATGTTTGCACTCGGTGTGCTGTAAAATGTAAGCGTGCCAACATCCACGTCCATACCAATACATTTGATCAATCTGGCTAAAAGGACCCATGGTTGATTTAATTTATACCTCTTAGAGAGTGGAATTTTCATGAAGCAGCCATCGTCGTTGCCGTACTCGTCGTCGTCATGATCATCAGTAATCCCAGGCGTCTGTAAAGCTGCCCATCACTCTTCTGGAAAATGCTTCTGCCTCTAATTGGTATTTTTTCTGGGGCTTACAAGGCCATGATACATACATTCGGGCAATGTTATGGCAAGCAGCACCAGCAACATTCATTTGCTGTGACCAGTTATGGAAACTTGTATGGAAATGGCACAGAGTGACGGAATTCACTTCAGAAAACAATTGTACGGCATTCAGTTCGAGTGAGCATTGCTGATAACGGTCGTTGGTGATGATCGACCTTAACTTCTTCATTAATTTGTGCAACTACATCCATGGATAGGAAATATGGCACGGACAGCTTTTTGGGGTTAGGACTCCCATTTGGAGTATTTTATAGAGTATCAGTATTTCATATACAGTAAACGCAACCTGAAAACAGCTGTGCTCTCAATGCGAGGTCTGCCAGGGGCTGCTGGTTACACAGCTGTGAGAATTAACAGTAATAACCATGCCACTTACCCGCAAAAGCCTTATCGAAGAGTCTGAAGGCTTTTTAGGAGGGTCCTGGATTTGCATTGTGGCCCGTTCCCTTTATTAACGAGTGACACCAAGTTCTCCTTTTCAAATAACCAAAGTCTGAAATGTGGTAGTTCATACCAAAAGGTGCTTGTCATCGCTTATTTGATCCAGAGCGACCTAATTACAGTATATACCTATGTAGGTTAAATGCTGTAGACCACAAACTGGTCGTGTGTGCATTCAGGTGCATTTGTGTAGCAATGTTGAAAAGTGATCCCTTTCAACAACTTTTCACAAGTGTTCTCGGGTGTGCCCCTAGTATGGATAAACAAACCGGTGGTGTATTGCGGGGATATTAGAATTAGTTCTGCGACATCATCTTTCAGGGCCGTTCACTGACAGAGAGTTGTGCACCACTCACGAGTGAGAGTTTCAAACGGAAATGTCATCTTCTGCAATGATGTCAAACTTAATTTCAATATTTTCCCAAAAATATTAACTTTGAAATGTACTCTCAGCCAAGCGGCGGACACGTGTTGGCATGCATGTGGCACGTGGATATTGATCACGATTTGCAGCAACAGCAGTTGCCTACAAGTGGGGTGACGTGGAAGCTGCGCATAGTTGAAGCCATCGCGCAATTAGATGCGCATTAACATCTGCTCCCCAGCCGCAGCAGATTCTGCGGCAAAATCAATGGATCAATGTCAGGGTGGACGTGGGGCCACGTGGATAACTACAGTGGAAATGGAGGCGGAATGCGTAGCATAAACACTCGACTGACCGCCTGAGAAGACAGCCTGTGAAGAAAGAGCATCCTGTCCTCGGTCAACCAAAAACCGTACCTGTTACATAAGAAAATCTAAATGGATTGGAGCGAAACAGTTTTAACCAAAGCGTTAAGAATACCAACTGCCTTCTACTGAGTTATCATTGGTCCTATATTTGAGACATCGTTATAACCTGTGTTTACAAGAGTGGTTTATTTAATTCGGTCCAACTGAGCCGATTTATTTTCCTTAGTGTGAAAGGTTTAAGTGAACCATCTCACCAGAGGGAACGTTTGAACCCTCCTCAGACCAATTAAATAAAATGTATATTCTTGGTTCTTTCGTTAAAGTCACGTAGAAGGGAAACAATAAAATAATAAAAATATGAAACAATTAAATTATCACGATGTTTCGACTGCAACGCAAGCAATCATCATCAGGTGTGAAAACCACAACAAGAAAATAAAAAAAAATCTTGATGTGGTTTTCACACCTGATGATGATTGCTTGTGTTGCAGTCGAAATTTCGTGAGAATTTTATTGTTTTATATTTTTATTATTTTATTGTTTCCCTTCTACGTGACTTTACCGAAAGAACCAAGAATATGAATCCCTGCAGTTACGACAGCTTTACATCAAAATTTAAATAAAATGTATTTACACTGGCTTAAACTACTTTCATGATACACACATCACTGTAATATTTTTTGCATTTGCAGACTTTAAAATACGCTAAATATTTGACGGGAATTTTTTTCAATCGGATGTGAATTCATTTGAAATTGTTGTGGTTTGGGATGGCAGGAATTTACAGAATCCTCAACAAGTGTTCGCCATCTTACAGTGTTTCACGAGATAGATTATTATCTCCACAGTGCGTGGTTGCCATGCTCT